GCGAGGGTCCTCAAGTGTCATAAGCGTAAAGGCTGGAAGGATTTGTGCAATTCTTTCAGTCACAACACCCCGACGCCTTAAGTGTGGAAGCTGCTAAAATCATACAAGAAGAGGAGGCTACACGTCGGGCAAAACTATGAAGCTAATACGGCATCTCTCAAGGAACAGACGGAGGTAGCACAGAACAAATTTTGCCCTCCGAGTTGCGAGTACAGGTTCGACTTGCAGGCTGCGCTGAGGGAGCACAGCATCAGAGCTGGCAGGAGATCAGTGTCGGAATTGGGTGGTCCTCTCACATTAGAGGAACTCAGGAACGCGCTGGCTTGTTTCAGGAATAGGAAAACGGCGCCAGGTCTCGACCAGATCGACTTCAGTATCTTGGCAGTCCTTCCTCCTTACTTAATCGACAATCTACTTTCCATTTTCAACGGATTCCTGGAAAGGGGAACGGCTCCTTCATTATGGAGTCGAGCATTAGTGATCTTGATCCCCAAAGCAGATGGCTCGGGATTGCGACCTATATCGCTGCTCTCTTGCTTATTTAAGGTTTTCGAGAGATGCATATATCTAAGGCTGGCTTGGCACGTTGAGAGGAGCCGACTGCTTCCAGAGGCACAGTATGGATTCAGGAGAGGCAGGTCTTGTGGAGACAGTTTGGCGACATTCGCCTCGGGAGTGAAGGGAGGAATCATGAATGGAGACAAGGTGACGGCGGTATTCTTGGATGTGTCTTCGGTCTTCGACAACGTGGATTTGGGGGAGTTGCTGCGTGTTCTGGTGGAGGTGGGTCTGCCACTCAATCTATGCAGCCTGTTATACAGTTACCTCAGGGTAAGGGAAGTATACTTTGTGAGCAATGGATCCATTAGTGAACCGCATTTCACGTACAAGGGTACGCCTCAGGAGTCTATCCTGAGCCCGTTACTTTTTAATCTATACATCAGGGAACTCCCTTTACAGACACCAAGGGGGGTAAACATGCTTCAGTTTGCTGATGATTTAGTAATCTGGGCAGCGAGCAGCAGCAGAGCGGAGGTCACGAAGAAATTGTCGGTAGCAACCGAGAAGATCGAGTGGTTTCTTCGTAGTAAGGGCCTCGGATCTTTCGGTCGGCAAATCTGCATCGATCAACTTACGAGCATACGCTCTCGACCGGATAGTGAGGCTGTCGTCGTTCGTCGGCGGGAGATTCCTGTTGTTGCTGAGCATAGGTTCTTGGGCGTTCTCATCGACCGGAGCTTCTCGGGCAGGGCACATCTGGAACACATCACCAGCAAGTGTCGTAGTATCGTCAACGTAATATCTTCATTGGCGGGAGTGTGGTGGGGCGTCCACCCGCTGCTTCTACTAAACGTTTACAGAGCACTGATGCGGAGTGTCATGGAATACGGAAACCAAATTTTTTTACCAAGGGTAATCTTACGAAGCTGGAAGTTCTTCTGAAACTGAGAAACCGAGCGCTGATAACGGCACTGGGATATCGTGCGTCCACTCCCATCAATGTCATCCTCGATGAGGCCAAGGGGCCACCATTCCTGTAGCCGGATTCTCCAACGTCTTAGCGACGATTATCATTATCGTTAACTGTATTTATCGACATTTTTCGTTAAGTGCTATTCTGTACCGAGCAGTTATCGACAATTCTTGTTAAATCAAATCGTTAAGTTCCGAAAGTTGTCGTTACGTTAAGGGGGCATATACTCCTAGAAGACCAAAAAAACGATAATTTTCTGGAATTTTTTTCTGGGAAACTGTTGGAGATATCGGATTGTCGTTTCTTGTAGTTGAAAATGTACATTTTAAAGAAACTTCGTGATTTTTTTTTATTAAAGAATCTCGCAAAATGTCGGAGATATGGCGTCGTGAAAAGGCAGCCCGGAAAAAATCACCCAAAATGGTACCAGATGTATCTTCGCCAAAAATTAACTAAAACAAAAAAATAGCGCGGAATATTAAAATATATAATAATAGTTTTGGCGTATCGTAGCCGATTTCAAAAATTTCGATTTTTGACAAAATGGCGGGCGTTTAAATTTGACGTAGCGATTTTTAAGACAAAATCCGTTCGTTTCCTCGCCAGAAAACAAAAACTATGAGTCCTAAAAAAACCCCCCCTACGATAAGCGATAGATAATTATGTGTTGAATAACCCCTATAAATTTCAAGCAAATCGATTCAGTGGTTCTCGAGATATTTCTGGTACCAGTTTGAAAATGTCGTTTCGAGAAAAACGCGTTTGAATATTCAACATATGTTTTGGTTAAGGGGGCATATAATCCTAGAAGGCCAAAAAAACGTTCATTTTCTGGAATTTTTTTCTGGGAAACATACATACATACTGTGACGTTGCCGTCCCGCGAGCGCGTCCACCGGGTTCCTCCCTCAAGGCAACGGGCCGAGATTAGGGAAAACGGTGCCGCAGTCTCCAGAGAGGCGACCGTTATTCGAAAAATTCGACGTATTGCTGATTATTTTGTTTTTTTTGTTCCTATGAATGCGAGCGTGTGAGTGCGGATGGACGCGGGGGCGGAGGAAAGACGGGAGGCCCGGCTAACGGACAAATTCCGCGGCGAACACGGTGGAGAGGCGTGCGGAGCGGGAACGGAGCGCGCGGAGCAGCGAGCCGGGAAGAAGGAGCCCAGGGCCCGTGGCACGATGCCGGAGGGGCGTCAGCGGGGGAGTCGCTGCGACAGCCCTATCGAGGGAACCCGAGGAAATTTGGCGATACCGCGGGCACCTGCGCCCGATCGCGAGAATATCGCGGCCGGCGTTGGCGCGTGCCGTCGCGCGATTGGCCGCGGGGCACGCGCCTCGCGCGAGCAGCCGCGCGGGGGGGGCCACCGAACTATCGATCCGAGATCGCGGAAAATTCGGAGTGAGCCTGTTGCCGGAGCTGTAAGAGAGAGGACCCCGGTCTGCCGCTACCGTCGCTTTCCCGCCGCTTTACGAGTGCCCCGAAAGTCAGGACGAGCCGTTGCCGCCTGCCGATCCCGAGGGAGCCGAGGGTGCCGGTGAGATTGTCCTCCGTCCGTTTCGCCCCGTGCGTGTGCGTCCGGGCCCGGGTTGTTCTGTCGCCGCCAGGAAAATTTCGCGCTTGGTGTCGCCCGGGCTACGGCCCGTCGGATTTAGAGTTTCTTTGGTGTCCCGGTCGCGGCGACAAGCAACCGCGGTTACCCCGGAGCCTGCAGGGCACAGGCCTCGCGTGAGAGTGTGTGTGTGTGAGCGTGTTCGAGCCGAGGGTCGCGGTCGCGTGGAGTAGAGCCGGTCGTTCTGGAGATCCGCGGCGCGAGGGTTGCGTTGCGCGAGATCACGCAGGGTACGCATGCCGCGGGAGTGTCGCGTGCATGCGCGGCGTGAAGGAACGTCGCCGTAGAGTCGCGACGACCGAGGAAGTGCGAGCGGCTGAGTGAGTGTTTGCGATACCCCGTGCCGCTTCCGCCGTTGTCGGTGGCGGGTTTCGCGAGGACGGTGCGTCCGGAGCGGGATCCCCTGCCGACCAGCGCGGCCGGCGCGGCCGGGAGCGAGCGAAAGGCTCGCCGTAGTTAGCCGTCGGGGACTGCCCGGCGGAAGATTGCACGTCGTTGTGAGACGGGCCGATCCGTCGGTCCGAGTACCCAGTCTCGCGGGCGAAGCGCCCCGGCCGAGTGTTGCGTGTGCGACGGTATTCGTACCGTTCGCGAGAAAATTACTGTCGAGTGCGTCCGTGTCGTCTGAGTAGGGTTTATCGCGTACGGCTAATCTCTGCCGTTGAGTTCGCGCCGGATTGTTCCGTGTCGCCGAGAGTATCGCGGCGAGTTGTTTCCCCGATCTCGGGGCTGGTACAATTGTCGCCTGCGACGCCGCCCGTTATAGCGGCCGCTCAACCGGCTGGTTAACGCCGCCCTATATTAAACTCGATTTTATTATATTGAATTCTTGAGTTTCCTTTCGTGTACGTCTCCCGTCGTGTGTCTCGTCCGTCGTGTGAACCTATTGAGTCCCGTAGCCTCTGGAATCTTTTAGTGTCAACCACCGCCTCGCCCCTCTACCGTTAGGCGAGCTAGCCTGTCCGTGACGGGGGCCGCTCCATATCGTTCGTGCGATTTCGCGGATGTCGCGACTTGATGCGTGAGAGACCGCGTCTGACGCCCAACCTTCGTCTATCGCGTGGTGTTTTCGGCTCACGGCACGGTACGCGCGGAGCTACCGAGATCCCGCTCCTTTCCGGCGCGTTATCATTATCCCCCCCCCTTGGCTTTTGACGACGACTCGATCCGTCCGCATCCCGCGCTTCTCGCGCCCGGCGACCGCACTCCCCGTCGTCGGCGCGCACCACCGTTGAAGATCGGCGTGCGACGGCGAGAGCGGGACGGCAACACCCGTCCGTCCGCGTATAACGGGAGGGCGGAAAACGAGAAAAGAAGAGAATAATCGTCGCAAAATTTGGCGCCCAACGTGGGGCCACGTTGAATAATTAACAGGGAGTGCCGGAGGCACGGAAATTATAGTATTCCAGGAAATTCTTGAAGCGTTCGTGAATATTGGAAGTTCGTCGTTGCGAACCGTGCGATATTTCTCGTGTGTGTTGAGTGCGTTTCTTGTGTTAGTCCGCGTTAACGTCTTCGTATTTACGTCTCGGTGTTTGTTCTTTTTCTTCTTTTCCGTTCGGTATTTGTGTCGTGCGCGAATACGGCTGAACTACCGTCAGGTTTCCGCCGTTCGAATCTGGTCGCGCGTGTTTGGTTATTTCGCGGAAGGTCGGGACGGACCAAATGAGTCCAGTTGATCCCGCGGACGAGTGGATCTTCGCGTTGGACAGCGACTAGCTACGCGAAGAATTGGGCCGACGAAGGCTTTCGCTCGACGGGAGCTACTCCATCTTAACCGCACGCTTGCTGCGTGACGAGCAAGAGAACCGCCGCGAATTTCAGGCGGCCCTCGCGAGCGGGGGCATGGCGGACGGGGATGACCGGCTGCCGCCGCCGGCGGCCGATCTCCGCCTGGATAGTCCATCGGGACTTCTCTACCCGCAGACGTCCTCGCGAACGGGGGGCACGCCGCCTCCGCCCGGGGGGACGCCTCCGCCCGGAGTGACGCGCTCGCCCGGAGTGCAGCGCTCGCCCGGAGTGGCGCGTTCGCCCGGCGTAACGCGCTCGCCCGGACATAGTGCGTACCGCGATAGCACGGGGAATTCCGCGATGACCGCGTATAACGTAATGCGGAAATGGAATTTGAAGTTCTCGGGAGCGCGCGGGGAGGACGCCGAAACCTTCTTGTTACGTATCGAGGAGGGTTGCGATTTAGTCCCGGTATCCGACGAAGATATACTCCGCTGTTTACCGTTCTTTTTGACCGGAATCGCGTTACATTGGTTTCGGGGGAGGCGCGACCGGTTGACGACGTGGAACGCGTTTACCGACGCGTGGCGTACCCGCTTCGGAGACCCCGATTTTCAGTTTGCGCTCCGCGACGAAATCATGCGGCGTACGCAGGGGGAGCAAGAATCCGTGGCGGATTACTTGACGTGTTTGAGGGCTATGTTCGACCGACTA